AGGGACATATCTGCAAATATGGGAAATATAGGCCCAGCACTATTTCGAATTTCCTACAGCTACCCTCACTGCGTATAGCAGACCCGGACTACCCCTAGGACGGACAGGCCCGAAGGGCCTATACCTGTCTCTTATACACATCTAGATGTGTATAAGAGACAGCCTCCCCCTCCTCCCCCCTCCCCTTCCCCTCTCTCTTCCCTCTCTCCCTTTTTTAGATAGTTACTTTTGTGACTATATGAATGGACATCTCATAAGCCATCCTTAATTGCCCTTTCACCTTACCTCTCTCTCTGTCCATTCGGCCCTCCCTCGCTCTCCTTCCCCTCCTCTCCCTCCTCCCCCCCTCCCCTTGCCCTCTCTCTTCTCTCTCTCCCTTTTTCTCTCTCAGTGTCTCTGTCTCTAATTGGAAATCAGCCAAGCGTGCATGGATGTATGCTACTGCTTGCTTAGTTGTTTTTGCCACTCACTCTCTCTGTCTTGCAGCCGTTATGGAAATAATGAAAATGCCATTTTCATTATTGAAAATCCCGGCTGTCATTTTCAGTAAGTAAAATTCCGTTTCCGTACACGTCTTGCTACAATGGTCAAAGCTGATCAATCAGTCCAATGAATGAATGAATGAATGAATCGATCAATCAATCAATCAATCAATCAATCAATCAATCAACCAATCAATCAATCAATCAATCAATCAATTAATCAACCAACCAACCAACCAACCAATCAACCAATCAACCAATCATTTAATCAATCAATCAAACAAACAAACAAACAAACAAACAACGAATGAATGGAAATCACCATCACGGTTGTTTTCAGCCAATTTAAACTGAGGGAAGGGAGACTCTGATAAAAAGGGGAGCCACCCTTTCTGCAAAATGTTTCTTGCCGTTGAAAACATGCACTTGGAAGGAAAAACTTCCAAACGCCGCAGTCAACGCTCTTCATACCCTCTTCTTGCCTAAACAGACTTCCGAAAAAGTCTACGCTCTTCATGTGCTTCTTCGTGTTGCCTAAACAGCAGGCCCATGGACCATGGAGGGTTGGGCCATCACACAAGTTCTCATTCACAGTAATCCCCTCTCCTCTCTCCTGCTGGAGTACACTTCTCAACGCGGCATTGAGTGGCCTCCTCAGAATCGACTGCTAACTTCTCTCTCTCTCTCTCTCTCTCTCTCTCTCTCTCTCTCTCTCT